GCTGGAGCCAGCAAGGGGCCTGTGCTGCATTTCTCCATGTGCATACAGTGCTTCTACCCAAAGGCAAGAGTCATGCCAACCTTCCCACCCCAGACCAACCTGCATTTGAGTCTCCTTTAAAAAGTCTCTGAGCAGGGACAGTGGCTCCCTGCCTTCTCCCTGAACCCACCCCAAAGATTTTGCTGATTCAGCAGAACTGCAGCTGCAGCAGAAGCCAATGAAGATAAAGAAAGGTGTTGGGCTGAAGTGTTGCGGTGGGAACGGCTGTTGTTACTGTCTTCTGTCTCCAGTGCACCTGTTGCCCTGATGATCTTGAAGATTTTCCTCCAACCTAGATGGTGCTATGATTATCATTTTCCATCTCCCAAGCAGCACAAGTCATTTCACAAGTCCCACTGAGAACTACTTCTAAGGAAACATCTGAAACATTTTACACAGGCCTGGAAACCTGCACAGAAGTGCAGACACCTGGGCCTCAGCCATGTTCATAACTATTGCAATGCCGCTGCTGTAAAATGAATTCTTTTTCTTTCTGACTAGCCCAGAAAGGTGTCAGGGACACCAAATCTCCGCACAGCCACCCAGCCTACAGGCAACCCATACCACGCTTCATCTCAGCAGGTACCACCAACAGCCCCATTGTCTTCCTCTGTCCTGACCAAATCCTAATACCCAACAGGGACATCTCCAAGACATTTACCACTGCTTAAGAATAGGCTTTGGCTCACTGCATGGTGAAAAAGAGAAGAAATAAGGAACTTTCCAAGATTAGCCCCCTCCTTTTGTCCTCCTTGGTGGCCTGGGGGAAGGTTTGGACTGTTGTGACCCCAGGGAAAAGTGGGCTGCAAAGGCTGGGGGGAGGCACCCAGCCATGTCTCAGCTCTCTACCCTTTGTCCAAGAGCCCCAGGAGTAAGGGCACAGGCAGCAGTGACCCACAACAACCTCACTGACACCACCCCTCTCTTTTCCCTGAGAGCAAAACAGGGATGGTGGTAGCTGGAGAGGAAGAGGGCCAAGGTCTTGTAGCAGCTGAAACTTCTCCGTAGAAGAGCAGCCATGCTGGGGAATATTTGGGCTTTTTCAGTCCTTAGACCAGGTGCACCAGCAGGTCAGCACATGAAGTCAGAAAAACTGCTGCGAGATCCATTTGTCTCAGCACATTGACTGTTCTCCAAGAGTAAGCCAGCAAATGCCATGGGGTGGAGTGCTGCGGGTAGGTTTCACTGCTGGCTAAAACACAGGAGCAACTGCATTAGGAATGTAACACAGCTTGACAGACGGCCGAGTGACTTAGACGGCTGACAAACCTGTAACTAGCACGGGACCAGCTCGGGTAAACCCTCCACACAGGGGATGTGCATGGAGCCGTGCTAATGATGACTGAGGAACACCCAGAAGTCCACACATCTACGTAACTCCAAATAAATTTTAGTTTTCCCTGAATGTTTTTGTTAAATTCTGGTGCCAGAGACATCTAAGGAATGTGACACATACACAAGCACTACTTGGAAAAAAAATGAAATAAAAATAGTCATCAAAATATTCACACTTTTTTTTTTTTTTTTAATTAGGCAAAAAGCCACTCAATGCTCCATAACAGCCCACAAATCTGTGTTATCTTAACCACCTGCCCCCACTTAAGAAAGGGCACTGTGCTGCCAGGTGACAGCAGTACGTGCCACTGGACACGGACGCGGTTCTCAGGCCATTTGCTCTGCTCAATTTAGCTGGTAGTAGATTTAATTCCCACCCTGGTTTGCAGCTTTTTCAGCATACTCAAGGCGTCTCAGTAAAACTTTGCTGCATGGACTGACTACATGAGAACAGAACATTTTGTAGGCATACCCCTAATAAAACATAGGCTTCTCCTAGAGCTGCACATTTGCCACCATGGTAGCAGCAGTGAACTGAGCCATGGCAGAGAAACATCTCACTGTGCCAAATCAAATACCCTGTCATAAAGGAATGACTGCAACAGCTTTGAAACTTGGGCAAAGCAGAACTCATGTTCTATTCACTTATTTTTTGCTTGAGCACAATACTGAAAGGTGGTGGAGGGGAGCAGAGCAATGTGTCCAGCCCTGCTTTTCATTTTCACCACAAACACCCACATCCTTGGTGATTATCCTGCCCCATCAGAGCCTTTCTCACTGCTTTGTTTTTTCCTCTGCATTTCTGTACCCTTCCCCTTCAGTGCAATTGCTCACCTTTGCAAAATGAGCTCTTCAGTATTTGGTTACGTGCCCTTTGCACCCTATTTTTTATTTTCACTAAAGGGAAAAAAGGAGCTGAACTAGAATTTACTGAGTCCTCTTCATTGCAAAGGGAAGAAGTCATCAGCAGCAAGTACAAAACATGTAACCTGATGTACGGCAGCAGCTAAGCAGAGAGGCTCTCTCAAACACATTGGCTTCCTGTGGGATACCGATCACTTAGTCATATGAGTTTTGAAGTTTTTAAATGTCAAAGATGACAGAGCTGTGCATAATGGGAATAGCTTCAAGTGGGCCACAGCTGCCAGTTCCCTCTCCTGTGCTCTGCAGATATAATCCTCCCAAAAAGGATCATTGGGCTCCCTCAACCAACACAAAGCAAGACAGAATTTAGGTGATTTCACAGGCGAGTGAAAGCCCCTAAGACCCACCATGGAGCCATGTCAGCTCAGATACCCATTTGCACCTTTCCCTTCTGGGCTGGCACGATGCCTGCCACAAGGAAGGGAAGGAGGGAAGTCAGAAACTGAGCTGTCATGGGGTCTGAAATTGTGATGGGTGATAAAAGTGATGTCCAGGCAGCGCCCTGCCGGACCACCACGTGTGCAGGGAGATCGCGGTGGGGTGCAGACGACAACAAACCTGACACCGAGCTGCCGTGGAAGCTCACAAATTCTTGTCTCTTGCTTCACAATGATGCCTGGATTAAGGTTACGTTCCTCTGTGCTGCATTTTGTCACGCAGCCGCTATTTTGGTCAGAAAGTCAGCAAGCCCATATTTGGGAAGCTGTCCCTCTGAAGGGCAGCATGAAGGGCAGCAAGATGAAAAGACTGCATCGAGGCAGGCCTGGGCCAGTTCCTTGGGGCCACTGGAAGCCCAATTTCCCCCCTCTGCTTCTCATTAACGTGCCAAGATCTTTGTCACAGTCCAACCCCTGCCTCTCTTTCTTCCCTCAAACCACATCCTGTGGGTGCATTATTCTCACAGCATGAGCCCTCTGGGGAAGACGCAGAGATGCAATCTGCCTTCTTAGACAGGCGAGCCTTAGTGGGAGATTTAAAAGGTAGAACTGAAAGCGGGTTGGGTATCTGTGCACGCATGGGTGAAGGTGCAGCGAAACACCAAACCATCTCTTTAGAAACTGTTTTCTTTTACTTACTGTCACAGTGCAGACCAGCAGCACACCGTCCTTCCTTCAGGTGGGTGGACCAGCCACTTCACCTCCTCCAACACCAGCAGGCACCTCACCTCAGGATGCTGAGAACTGGAAGTGCAGCTCTGGGATCACAGAATTGAAGGGGTTGGAAGGGACCTTGAAAGATCATTGGGATCTTGCTCAAATGAAGGCAGCAGGGAGCAGGCAGCCTTTCTGTCCCAGCTATTTAGCAGATTCTACAGTGATACAAACGGGCTGACCACTCACTCTCCAACTTCCCCAGCACATCACCCTCCCTACTCACACATTGCTCCTGCACAGCCACCAAGTTCTTCCAAATGAGAAACCTCCAGAAGAGCCCAAGAGATGCATGCAGCAGGAATCATACAGGTGCGGGCTGCACTTTCCTCAGAATGCAAGAACCCTCAGCTCCTGAGATTTAAATTAGTAAATCACTTTGTATTGCTTGGTTTACAGCCGAGTGGTATTTTTATCAGTCAAAAAAAAAATTGAGAAGTGTTCGGAAATCTGGAAGACTTTTGTGGAATCACTTCAGGCCACACAGAATTAAAAATACTCACCTTGTTTCCAAATAGTATTTAATTCCAGTAATTAACTAAGCTATTTTAAAAAAGTCACCTACACTAATTGGATGTTTTGCTGCATTTTTTTTTTCCATCCAGCAGGTGTTTTGCTGCTATACTGGAAAGTCACAAGTTACTTGCATACTTCCAGCTCTTGAGCTGCCCAGTGAATTCACACCACCAGGTGGACGAGTCTTGCAATTGCAATTTTAGGAAAGGTCCCTTGCCTTTTAACGGGCGGCTCACTTCAGTACCAAAACCACTCATTTTGAACCAGCTTTCCTGACTGGCGTGACCTGGAAAGCGAAGTCCACCTCTATCTACCTGACAGCAGCAACTCTGTCACGGCACCACGTCTCCTGTACTACTTCCATGATCTCACCAGCCAGCAAGCTTCGTCAGATAGGGACTTTTTGTTACAGCAGCTATGAAAATCTGTCTTATATCGTCCTGTATCCCGTATCACACTTGAAGCATTTTAGAGAACACCACAAACCACTTCTATTAATTACTACGACCTCTATAACACTCTAGCTGGCGCTCAGAACCCTCCCATTTCTCAGGATTGCTGTTGCTGTAGCTACCCTACCTGAACTGTGAAGCAGCAGATGCTTGGATAGCCCTTGGAAGCCTGATCTTGCTCTGACAGCACTAAGAACTACTGCAAAAATTGCAGTATGAGAGCTCTGAACGTGCACACCAGTATCAAAATCAGTTCTACCTTCACTGAATGCTATCATCTAAGAGCCCAAGCAACACAAACACATTGCTTCTTGTTTATACTTTAAAGCTTCACTCTATACCATTCCACAATCTGAAAACAGGCTGCCAACTCGTAGGTGTTCATAACCTGTACGGCCAATTGCAGCACTGAGGAGGCAGCAGCTGTTTCACCTCATACATCTGGAGGCTGAGAATACTGACACACAACCCCTCCTGCTGACCTGCCAGAGAACAAAGCCACACATTGGCTGCTACACGCGGACATGACAACACAACTGGCATTTAAAATACAGCTCAGGACATTTTCAAGGGTTCTCCTTAAATTCAGGAGGTGAAGAATATGTTACGTCCAATTTTATTCTTACAAAATGTTTTAACACATGACAACAGGAAAACTGGTTCTTTGTCTTAAACCACGTCAGTCCTTTTTCTGCAGAGCTGCCTGCTTGGCATTGTTGGCCTGCATCTTCTTCAGCCCCTTCTTATTGTGCTTCTTTGCGAATCTCATGTTCCTCAGAAACTTGGGATCAACCTATAAAAACGAAGGAAAAAGATAAGCCACGCTGCAGAAAAGACGCAGGTAAAAACATGTTTCCATTATGCTTCAGTGATTTCCAACTGCTAGCTGTAATTAATTCAAGTAAGTTTTCACATTTGGTTTTCTCATTACAACAGAATTCTTTTAAATCAGGTAAAGCCATCCTTTGAACTATTTTCCTTCATTTCTAAACAAAAAAGAATCCCAAGCCCCAGCAATAACTATATAGAAAGAACAGGATAAATTGAATAAAAATGTAAACAAGACAAACTTCATTTCGGTGTCATGATACGTTCTTAATCAGAAGCATCACAAACAGATCTTGCCAGTGAGCATACATACATGCAATCCTTTGGCAAAGATCAACAGTTTCCTCAGGCCTTTCTTTTTTATAGTAAAGGAAAAATCTACCAGCATGGAGAAGAGCTGCTCCTTATTTTTTTGTCCACTAGCAGCAGCTCACAACACATCCTTTCATGGCTAGGAGCAATTCTCAGAACCGTCAGCATCCCACTGAGCAACATCTGTTACTTTGCTGAAAGCAGCATTTCACCTGGTCCACACAGGATTTCTGCCATCTCAACTCGCACGCTCTTGGTGAGAGGACACACAGAGAAACAGCCCAGCTGTTTTCAGGGTGCCGAGCCCTCACTGAGCTAGGCAACAGACAAACTTTTACATCGCCTCTGAAAAGCCAATCATCACATCTGCAAGGCAAACAGAACCACAGCCCCCTCCAAAGCCAGGACATCCTGCGTTTTCTGTCTCTTTCAAACATGGAAAAAGACGGTGGTGTACCATGTGTATAACCTCGGAAAAAGCAGGATTTTGCCATTTCCGTGTGCACCATCCAGAAAAGCCAGCTCCTCTCACTTTCTGAACAAGCTTCTGTGTATTAGTACAGCCAGTGAAGCAACACTGGAGGGTACAGAGGAGACACAGCAGGAATAAGAGAAAAGAAGAGCAGTGAAACTATTAATGTGTGACAGAGACAAAATTTGCCTGTAACTCAAGAGTAGTTTTGTAGATGTGCAATGCAGATTTCACATGGGTTAGAACTCTCACTGCTACCAGTAATGTGAGCACACGATGAGAGACCCCCAGTGGTTCTGACCCTCTGGAATTTAAGCCCCCATCTGCTAAAAAGCTGACAGGCAAAATAAGAAACAATAGCACTGGGTTTTGTCGTGCGATCAGCCCAAAAACATCAGCAGATATACTCACCCCTTTGAGAGACTCGTATCTATGGGTCCTGGGCTTCTTGATGCCATTCCTGTGCCACTTGCGGGCTACGCAGAAGACGAGAAAACAACCCAAATTAAAACTTCAACCACTACTATGGAGCTGCCCCAGCTGCCTTTCAGACCTCCACCACCACCACCAGCCACCCGGCCCCTCACACCCCAGCTGGATTCAAACAAGGGCTGCACCTCTCCCCCCTTAGCACTCAGGCCCCAAACCCAGAGATTTGTGGCCATTTACCAGGACCGGGGGGCAGCCGCCCCCCTCCCCCCCCCCCATCCCCAGCCCCCCTCAGCAGGGCCGCGCCCCCCCCCCCGCCCCGACTCACACTGGTTGTGCGTGGTGTGGTTCTTGGACTTGGCCATGGCTGCACCTGCGGGACACAGAGAGGGATAATGGAGCCGTACCCGGCCCACCCGGCTCCCCGCCTCCCCTCCCTGCCCGCGGATGGCGCCGGATCGCGACCGGTCGCGACACTCACCCGACCGCAGCCCGCCGCCGCCGCGCCGGAAGAGGAAAGACCAAACCCGGGGGCTGCTGGGAAATGGCGTCCGCCCGCACCGGAAGCTCGCAACGCTCCGGTGCGCAACACGAACCGCCCGCAACATGGTTCCGCCCTGTTCCCGTTCCGCCCCTGTAGCCCCCTCGGTGTCCCTCCCCCCACGGCCCCAACGAGAAATGGCCTCAGGGGGCCGGGATGGAAGGGAAAAAACACCCGCTGGCCGCCCTGGCATCCCTCTGGCTGGTTGCTGCCTCCTGTCATAAAACCACAGAATCACACACTTGACCTCTTTCACCCATTTCTGAGCTTTCCTGATCAGGAAGAAGCAGAAGTTTTTATTTTAAAGTCACAGAAATCCTCTTTCAAGCACAATAAAATGGTGGCACTGCCGTCCCGTCATGGGTGTGAGCGTGGGACCTCCAGGGTTGTTTGTAACAGACTGTAAGCAAATGCAGAATACCAAAAAAGAAAGGTTGAGCCAGGGCAGAATACCAAAAAATAAAGGAAATTCCAGGGCAAAATACCAAAAAGGAAAGGAAGTTCCAGGGCAGAATATTAAAAAAGAATGGATGTTCCAGGGCAGGATCATGCCCATCATGCACTGTCGGGGGGCTGTGACCCCTCGAGTCTCTCCCAAGCTCTAACGAGCTGCTGTGTCTCCAAGTGCAGCCTCACCACGAGCCATCAGCTGGTTTGGAACCTCCAACCATGCTTTTAGCGATTACAGATGTAATTAGTGAGTGTTATCCTGTGTGCCATCCATTACAAGCGCTGCGCTCATTAAAAAGGGTGGTAATTACTACTGCTGCAAAATAATTCTGAAAAAAAAATAAAATCATATATTAAAACTAAAATCTCTAAGTGTCTCTCACAACAGTGTCCTCTCCATCGATGCCCTCACATTACACAATCCATCCCTGTTGGGTTTGATGTGGCTTTTGTGCTGATGCCCTTGGGAATAGCTCAGAAAAGCACTGCTGCTTTCTGAGAAACCACCTGAAAAGAGAGGTGGGCAGGACTTTGTTGACGTCTGACACGGCGTTTCGGTGGCGTCCTGATATTTATGGAAGATGGGCATGGGAGAAACTTCTCCCAGAGTTTCCTGGTTCTGCCCCAGCCCACGGTGAAAGGCGGGCACAATGTGGGGTGCCCTTAGTGCCAACACATCCACGTGCTGAGAGGGGTCAGGTGCTGGCTGGAAGGAGCCCAGAGGACTTGGCTTGACACGGGCTATGGAGCCTTCCTAAAAACTGCTGAGCTACTGGGCAGGGGGAGAAGGCAAACGGGGCTTGGCTGTGGTGTAAGCCCACACCAGCAATGCTGGAGGGAAGTGGGGAAGAAGGACGGTCCCCAGGGACAAAAGGCCCTGGAGAAGCCACCTGAAGAAGTGGGGACACCAGGACATAGAGGCACTAGAGGGAGCCTGAGCCTAACAGATGCCACTCTGGTCTCAAAGAGGGAGCACTGGTCCCAGTCAGGGAGAAGGAAAATCTCCAGTAAATAACAGGACACGCAGAAACTTCCCAATCCTACCCGACTGTGGCTTTTTTGCTCTGACATCCATTATAATTTTCTTAAAGCCATGAAGGAGGTCATAAAAGAATATCATTTTGCTTGTTGCAAATGTCAGCCAGCCTGCAGTCTGGCTCTCCTCAAACCTGACCCTCACTGGGCCAGCAAACACCACGTCACCAGCATCCCCAGTGCCTGGGGGAGCTGTTCCTAAAAAGATGAGACAAAACGGTGACAACTGGTGGCAATCATCAGGCTGGGTTTTCAAGAAAAGGGGGGTTCCTGGAGCAAAGTGTCCCTAAGGGGGTTGGGAGCTGGTGGTGCTGCCCTGCAAGTGCTGATGGCAGGGACGTGGGAACAGCCCAGGCTTGTGTGCTCCATGTGGGTGGCTCGGTTAGGAGAAGAGGAGCAATGGGAGAGGCTGGAAACTGCATTTATTATTTATTTTTTTTTACCAGCAATATTTTCATTGCATTCGCTTTGGATGAGGAAGACAATCATGGGTGAGCATGATCCAAAATGAGCTTCCCAGCAGGTCTGCCACCTCCTCTGCTCCCCCCAGAGCTGCCACTGCCCACAGCCCTTTTCCATCCTTCCACCTCTGCACCTTCCTCGGGAGGACAGTCCGTGCTGGTGGCCCACATCATGGTCACTCAGCCTGAGACCCGTCAGGAGCCAGCCAAGCTGCCAGAACGAGAAGTGTTGCATTTCCTCTTGCCTACACCCTGGATGATGCTTCTGGCTGGTCTCATAGCTGGAGACCTCATGCAGGGCTGGGCAGAACCACGTTTCCTTAGGGAAGAACTTGGTTCCTTGAGAGAATGCCGTGAACTTCAGTTAACCCAAAGGTGTGCATAAATTAGGTCTCCCCCATTTGCAGGACTTGCGTCTGAAATATATCAACACGGCAATAAAGGACTGATGGCTGTATGGTAGTCTCTTATTTATTTTTTTAATTTCATATTTTATATTTTTTTGGCATTTGAATGATGCTGGATTTGGGGGCAGCTTAGGGATTTAAAAGCAGATCTCCCTCTGCGCCAGCCCCATCCCGCTGCAGGTGTGGCTGGATGACCCCACAATGACCAGACGAGCACTGCGATCGCAAAAACGGAGCCTGCAGATCCTGTGAGGTGGAGAGGGCGGTCTGCGAGGGTGGAGGTGCTGCAGGGGCTGGAAGCTGGGGCTTGAAAGCAGTGAGGAGATGAACAGGGCCACCAAGATGCTGTGCCAGGCTGCAAGCAGGTCGGTGGCTGCTCCGGGGAGGCAGGTGGAGGTGGGTGGGAGGAACGGGCTGACGTAAAGAGATGCTGAGCTCATGTCTGTATTCATTTCTCCCCTTAATTATTATTAACCCTAGGGGTCTACAGTGTTGATGCCTGCACCTTATCACAAACAAAGCCCAATACTGGAAGGAGTTAGAGCAAGATCGTGTTTCATCTTGGGGTTTCAGCTCCACCACCTGGGCACAATTTCTGTCCTTCCACCTGGAGGCAGGGGCTGGGACAGAGGGGACAGCCCTCCTGTGAGCTGCACCCCAGTTCTGGATGGGATGGGGACACTTTGCAGAAACAGTGAAAGAGATCTGCTTTGGCTCTGCTTTATCTGCACCACGAGGATTATTGGAAAGCCACATTGAGAAATGCCCTGGCTAAAAAGGAAAATGAACGTCCACACAAAGACGGCTTGTTTGTGAAAAAAAAAAAAAAAAGCAATAAAGAAGCTGCCAACAAGCTGACATTAAACCCTGCGCTTACCTGCGACTCGCCTGATGCAATGACTGAATCCTTTCATTTGCAGCACCATAATCCAAGATGTTCTTTCCACAAAGCAAGAAAGTAGGTTAGCGCGAAGGCAGGGCTGGGGAGGGGGAAGGAGATAAGCAAGGCCTGATCCTGCACATCCTCTGAGCAGGGCTGAGACACTGATTTAACTGTTTTTTTTTTTTCTTTTTTTTTTTTTTTTCTTTTTTTATGGAAAACCCTTCAAAGCCTGGCTGGGTGCTGCTTGAAGGCAGGGGCAGGATGGGACCCCCAGCCCCACTTCTAGCCCCCGCTGCCCCTCTTTGAGACAGGAGGCATCAAACAATAACGCAAATATAGAGGGCTACACGTCCTGAGTCCTGCATGGATGGAAATGTATTTTCACACATAAATATAACCAGTCACATCTCCAGGCTGCAACCCCTCCACTGGTGCATGTGCCAGGGGGTTTCACTGCAGGCAGCACAGCCCATGACCCACGGGATGGCTGTCTGGCTGCAGCACAGGAGGTTCAGAGGATGTATCTGGGCTGGGATATCACTGTTCCTGCTTACATGTTAAATATCTAAGTTGTCCCAGCTCATTTCGGCACTTCTGCTCACTGCTGCAGCTGAGCATGTGGAAACAAAAGCCGATGCAGCAAGGGGTGCTGGTGTGTGCCATGGAGCTACCTCTGTAGCAGCGTGAGGTCAGGCATCAGGTCTGATAAAGCACGCTGTATTCTCAGCCCAATTTTTTTTATTAGCCCATTTTACCAAGTTGTTAATAACTCGGAAACACCCCTTCTTTTCCAGCTGCAAACTAAGCAGGAGGATTTAAAAAAGAAAAAAAGAAAAAAAGAAAAAAAAGAAAAAAGAGAAAAAAGAAAAAAGAGAAAAAAAAAGAAAAAAAAGGAAAAAAGAAAAAAGAGGAAGATCTCTCTTAACCGTACAGCTTTTTATCACCAGTGACAGGGAGGACTTCAATCACTTGAGGAGCCTTCACTTGAGGCAAAAACACAATGCTGGGGCTGCTAAAATCAAGCTGAAGAGCTTGGCATTCTGTGCAACAGGGCTGTAGGGTTAATTCACACCTGTAACTCGTCCAGTACCGCCCTGTGTCCAGCATCATCCTGCAAACCCTGCTCTGAGCACAGCCCATGCCCTTCTCTGCTGTCCCCTACCCACAGCAGGCACGCAAAAAGCAGAGGGACCACAATCACATCTGGGGCTGCTGCTCTGAAATACCAGTGCTTTACCAAAGCTCTGCTTCCCTGGGAAAAGCTGGTGCAGAGCACTTTCCCAGGGTCACGCCAGGCAAGGACAGTGACTCTGAGCTATAAAAATACATAAAATTAAGATGTTCAGGTAAGCACAGCCCTCCAGGTGTCTGCCTTCTGTCCTGGGCTTCACTGGGGCTGTGCACGGCTCAGAAGTAGATGAAACGCCCATTAAAATAAAGATCATGCATCCCTACTTTTCTGCTTAACGAATGTAGTGGGATGGCAAAAGGGGCTCTGGGATGTGGGTTTGTCACTTCCCCAGTCTTTTTCTAGGCTGTTTTTTCAACTCCATCTGCCAGAGATGGGCAGATGACACAGGGCGTTCCTTTCATTCCAGGTTTTGGTTGTTCTCTCGTGCTCCGAGAAGTTGACCACCACAGGAAGGGGTTGGGATGACTGTCATCCCTGGCTGGTGGCTTTGAGCACTTTCTCCATGATCACGGATGATATGAAGGCAGGCAGGTAACCAGCAGCCAGCTTCAGATCACCCCTTGGGCCATCCCTCACAGGATTTACAGCTGCACAGCTCTTTAAAAGCTCTTTCAAAGCAGCT